CCCCTTCCCCACTCTGGGCCTTACCCGAGGAGCTGCTGCTGCCCGGGGGAGGCCAAGCCATGGACGGGGGCAGCCGCTCCCCAGTCACATGGGGCAGGAGCCGCTGCCTGTCACTCCCCCCCTCCGGGGGAGGAGGCGGCTACCGGGGCGGGAGGGGGCACCGGGCCACCGAGCCCACCCTCGTTAGCGAATTAATTCATTAACGGAAGCCTCTGGGACTTTCCCTGCGCAACTGCCCTCCCCTCCGCGTCTCGGCGCACGGCTCCATGTTCTTCCGAGCTGGGATTAGTAACATCACTTGATCCACGTATTCATTAATAACGTGAATAATTAGTGGTGGGGACGGTGATCCCAGATAACCAGAGCATCTGCTCCACCACCTGGAGTAACCCTAGCTAGGCACTGCACCTCTGCAAAGGAAGGTGAACAGCAAGGTGATTAATGCTCGTTAATTATCCTTGAGCAGTGTCAGGAGCGCCTGTCACCCACGAAGTGACAGCAGGGGTCATCTGGTGCTGCACAGCAGTTTTCAACAGTCCCAAATTCCTGGGCCACGTAAAAGCAAGGTCTTCCCCACGTGAGAGCAGGCCCTGCTACGGTGGATTTAAGGCTGGCTTTTCACAGGGACCCTTTGGTGCAGTCCATTCCCCCTTCCAGGGCTCCCACAGAGCAGGCGCTGAAAAGTGCTCGCACTTCACACGTGTGTGTACATATATACGAGCACACCACCACGAAAGAACAGTTCATAATAACTGAGTCATTGTTGCCATCCACAGGAGCCTGGAGTACTGACAACACAGACGGGTCCTGGTCCAAAATGGCAAAGTAGCCCTCTACAGACAGTGGAGAAGGAAAATATGAGTCTAGTGCTGTGTTATTCTTTCTTACAGTATTTTCTACTCTACAGAAGCCTTAAATGCTTGGGGAAATTTCTCCCTCAAAATTAAAAAATAGATAAATTATAAGAAGTTCATCATCTGCCTAGAATGCTTTGAACAGGTATCACCCACCACAATCAACATCTCCTTTTGCACAAAGGAGTAGGAAAATAAATTTCAGCATATAATGAGGTTACCATAGCATACAGGCCCTTAGACATTACTTGCATCCTGTTCCAAAAGGTCATCTTGTCTGTGTAATCTCAGGCACTCAAATATTCATACGACTAAATCACCAACTCTGGAAACCTTGTGTTTTGAGAAGTTCAAAACTGCTGGCTGAGAAACTGTCTGGTCCGTTTACACCAAGTTTCAATACACCCTAGAACTCAGGGAAGTTCCAGAAGGCAGCAAATATTTTATCAGCATTTATAATGAGTGAATCAGATGGCCCAAGTAATTAAAAATCTTTCAACCTAAGTTTGAGCTCAGGTGAAATAATAGCACATCTGGTACAGGAATTAAGTAGCCAATTGAAAGGGAGGTAATATAACAAATTTTGCTTAACATGACATTATGGAAACTTGGTGCGAATGCAGTTTTATATCAACTTAATATCTTTTTGATGACATTAAACAGCTCTTTTGTCATGGACTTTGACCATGTCTGAAACATTAAATTTGTAAAAGCTGAATGATGTCTCTGTCTGAAATTGTTATTGTAAAGACAGATTTGTTAATAAATTGGTCTTTCTCTGGTAGGATTCCACAGACACAGCTTGTGGATCCTACACTGTTTAATATTTTTACTAGTGACCTGAAAAAATTCTGAAATCATTTTTAGCAAAGTTTTGTAGAAGGTGCAAAGCATGGGGCAAGAGGCAAAGGATGCTTATGGCTGCATAACCCTGTGTTAAGTTTAGGCATCATCAAATTGTATGTATTCCAGTCAAGCCAAATGTAAAGTCTCACATCTAGGAACAAAGAATGTAGGTCACACTGAAAGGATGTAACTCTATCCTGCAAAGCTGCAATTCCGTAAAGACTTCATTAAGATGAATAATCAGCTGAACGTGAGCTCCTTCTGCAGTGCTGTGACCAAAGGGCTAGTGCTGTCCTGGGAAACAAACAAGAGCCAGGAGGTTCTTTTACCTCTGTTTTTGACTCTGTTGTGACTGCTTTGGAAATAATTTGTACAGCCAACATTTCAAGAAGGATGTTGAAAAACTAGAGTAATTTCAAAGAAGAGTAGTAAGAATGATTACAGGACTGTCAAACACATTTTATAGTGAGACTCAAAGTGGTCAGTCTATTTAGCTTTCTAAAGAGAAGGTTAAGGTGCACGGTGATCATACCATATGAGCACTGAAACAGGAAGAAAAATCTGGTAATACCAGGATCTTCTATTTAGCAGACAAAGAGATAAGATCTCTTGACAGAAGGTGATGGGAAACAAATTCATAAATAAAGCATGCTTTTGTAGTGAAGAAAATTAACTGTTGAAACATCTTAGCAAGATTTATGGTAGAGTCACCATTACTAGATTTTCTAAAAAAACAATACCAGTTGATTTCTTCCCCTTAGAGAGAGAGCCTGGCTTGACGACAGCTACTAAAACTTAAACCAGGAATTGACCTGGTGAGTCCTAACTCGGGATATCAGACTAAGACAGTCAAAGGGGCCCCTTCTGGCCTTAGACTGTTACTCTACAGAGGCTACAGCTGCATGGAGCCTGTCTCCCTGCACTGTGTGACACCCCTGTTCCAGGGCACAGTAGTCTCCAGTCTGTGGCCATGCCACTGGACCAAGGAAATGACTTGGTGCAGTCCAGAAGGAACCTGGGTGCCAAGTAACATGTGTAGTGCGACCCTCTGGGATACCAGCACCAAGGTATGGATGGACAGGTTGCATCTGTAGAACAGGGGGCCTTAGTGCTCTCCAATTTGCAAGCCATGGTATAAACAACTATGAAATATTTGGCTAAGATGAAACATATATTTGCATGCAGTAATCATGGAGAGGGTCAAATATGCTTCAGACAGGGGACACAGAATGATATGAACAAAAAGTTACGATATCTTGCTCTTAAATATGGCATTGTTTTCTAGTATGCATAATTGCCTTACAACACAATAACAATAATTATTCTTTGCCCAAAACTTGGATATCATCTGTTACTTTCTTTGGGGTTTTTTAAAGAAGCATGGACCTGCAACTGCATACACTTGTTCTCAGGCATGATTTCAGCTACTGTGACTGCTGTGGAGCTGTCGAAGCTGTGCATCACAGCTAAGAACCCAGTGGCACTAGTCTTCCCAGCAGTGCCCAAGTGAGTGCATATGTAGGTGTCTGCAGGAGTAAGAACCTAGGAAGATTCTGAACCATTGCTAAAACTGTGTAGCATGGTTATTACCCATTACATTGTTCATACTCTAATAAAGGACTCTGACTTAGTGCAGGTGCTCAGTGCAGCATAATCGTTAATGATGTATCCTTCCCAAATCTTACTGTCAAAAATTCCTAGTCCTTTCATGGCCCATGACCACTCTGAATCTCTAGAAAATGGGGTAGGGTTCTGTGCTAAAGTAGCAGACCGTTTAGCATCATGGCTTGCAGGGTTTATAAGCTAAAAATTCTGGGCCTTACACCTGTAAAGCTTATGCTTTAACAATATAAGTTAATGAAATCCAGCTTGGAAGAAACACCATTTCAGTACTTGCCCATCATTTTTTTTTTTCTGCTGTCTTCAAGGGGTTTTATTATTTACAGTGCCCTCAAATACACCTTTCCAGCTAAAGACACAATCATGTGGACAGCTCTTTGTTTTGTTTTTCCTTCCAACCAATGCTTTTGTGTATTTCTGAAACTTAAGACACCTCCTCTGCTACTACAGTACTTATCTGTAACACCATCGCTTTGAGGGATTAAAGCAGGTTACTTGTTACACACTTAGATCAAGAGTTATCTGAGTAGAAAGTCTATCCTGTTAGGGTTGGCGGAATCTGTTTTTGATCTTGAGTTGTTTTGATTTTCTCTGAGAGCAAGTAACATGTTATTTTAACTTCTGAATAAGGTGTGCTACCTGACTGTGTCTTTTCTGTTTGGCAGAAAGGATTAGAAACCTCCACGGAACTTGCACTCTATTAAAGCAGAGTGCTCACCATTGAGAACCAAGGAGCTGAATTGTTTTCAGATTATATGTGTGTGTGTGTGTCTTTCCCACATCAAAGACTTTGATGGAAGCTGTTCACGCTATTGTCAGGAATGCAGGGATTGGCACAAAGGTGATTAGCAAAATTGCTTTTCTGCAGGAGAAGCACAAAAATTATCAAAGGATTAAAGAGGATAAAATTAAAAGGTTATGCTGAATTTGGGGGTAAATTTTCTCCTTTTTATCCCAAATTATACGTACTGATTTGGTGTTACCTATAAAAAATCTGCCAGAAGAAATCAGGATTAGAAGCTATTTGGTATGGGTTCTGTTAAAGGGCAAGGGAAAAACTTCCCTTAAAAATAATCCCAACAGACCCTGTTCTGCATGGTTCCAAATGACATATCCAGGGAGTTTTAGTGAGTACTAAAGGCACCCAGCCAGCAGCCATCCCTGCAATGTTCTCAGCAGCCACAGGATTGGGACCTTTAGTCATAATTATACTGAAAATTATTAAACAATTCAATAAATCAGTTTGTCATCAGTGATGCTGTTTGTTTACTTTTCTCACTACACACTGCTGACAAAGATACTAAACTGAGGGGATCACTTTCATTATCCACTTGCTGGGCACATGTAATCCTTTTGTATTTTGATCAGCAACTAAGCTGCTTGAATGGTTTGGAAAAAAAAGCAATAAAAATAGATTCTGAAATATTTTAGTGTATCAAAATGAACAGCCGAGCCTTCCAGAAGCTCTCTTGCTTGGCAAAACTGCAGTGCAATTAAAAAAATGTATCACCTCCCATAGCCAGCAGAATTGTCTCATCTTGCTGGTTCAGGCTCTGTTTATTGTTCATTTTATTTTAAACAGTCCTCTATTATTTGCTAAGTACCAGCCATATACCTATTTCTTGTCTTCGCATTTTGAATTTTGTTTGTTTTACTAATCTGTTATTTTCTGGAAGTCACCCAGAATATTTTATTTGTTTTTAACCTCATTTATCAAAGTATTATCTAAAGCATCTGTTCAGAAAATGTTCATTTTAACTGTTTTCCCAACAATGACCTTCTTCCTCCCCCCCAGGCCACATCAAGTTGTCACTCACCAGACAGCTGTGGAATTTGGAATCATTCCTTTTAAATGCTTTACAATTCCAAATGGTAGATTTCTAATGGCACAATATGATTGCCACAGAGATCTTTAAATTTCCCAATCCTCCAGGCTTCAAAGGCTGGACCGTCCTTGATCTCCTGAAGGAATGCTTTTGAATCTTGTTCTTTTATAGGGGCTACCTATGA